AATTTAAAAATATCCTGGTCTATTAAAGAGTTAAAGAGCAATGGTTGCTCCCTCAGCCAGAGTCTCTGTGCACCATTGAATTCCCTTGAGAACTTAAAATGTGACCACGCTCTTAACACTGACCTGTAAAAGGATGTTAAACCAGTCAGATCCAGCTTATTAATGTTCATTAGAAACAGGTGACGATCCAGCCCCATACAGGTTCACACATTCTTGCTTACAGCTCTGTGCTTTGCTCCATATTTCTGTACTTTTCTCATTTTTTTCTAAGATTTTTACTTCAGCAGATCAGCACAGTGCTCAAACAACACATTTTTGGCACAAACTCTAAAACTAAAAACTCCTTGGGACTGGAATAATACTACAAAAAAGGGGACTTTTGCCTCCCCCTGCCAGCAGCTTACATTCCGGAGACGGGAAAACACAGCTGTCTACATTCAAACAGACGAGAGAGAAAATGCCTCCTGTTGAATCTACTTGCTGCATGAACTGCCACAAACTTCTACAAAGGATTGCGGTTCTTGAAACAAAGTTATGGCTGGACTTCCAAAACAGGCAGAACACTCAGCAGACCGTCATCATGGACCCATGAATCTAGACAATCTCAACAGTTTATACCAAGTGTAGAGGAATAAGCCAAAATTGATTGTCACACTAATCGATGGCACAAACAGGGAGCGAGACCCAAAGGCACACGAGACATCAGATTGTCACGAGTATCTCATATTGCTGCGATAGCATCCTCTACCCCAGATTCGGCTATGACAAGGCTTGTGAATACTGGTATTCTACCATCCCCAATACATCTTGAGAACAGATTTGAAGCATTAATGAATGCGGGTTAAGGAATCCCCAAATGTGATTAAACATGGATCGGATCAGCCAGCAGCTAACATCGCTACTAACAGGCACTTAAAGGTGCAGTAGGAGATCTGTGAAAATGCTAACTTTAGCCTGATAGCACTGAAAGCAACGTCCCACCCTCCCTGCAAATCGCCGCCCAAAGCCACGCCCCCTGAACGCATGAACGCGCACAGACCAGAGTACCTGACACTGCATTACTACAACAGATCATGACTCATTCACCGGTGAGAAAACGTTATAGTACAGTTAGTAACAGTACTACAATACCAAACTTTAAAAAAAACTTTTTAGAAAACAGATTTAGATGCACCATTTTTCCATTTGTGTATCTAGCAAAACTTGTGCGGAATAATGTTTTTTGCATGTCAGGGTTTCCACGATGACAGTCTGCTTGACTCCATTGATGTTTTTATGGAGACAAGTACCTTGTCCGACGTGAGCGTACAGGCCGACACAGGCCGGCGGAGTCGTGCTAGGGGGCAGCTGCCGCGAAGGGTCACACGTAGGGGCTGCAGAGGACGGGCCGGCCGCGGTCGGAGTAACGTTACCATACAAGGAGCATTTGGACTCACACTAGATGACGCACATCGTGTTCAAGATCTGCAATCTACACGAATTGCAGATGAGCAGGTAACTACATAACATTGTTTATGAAGACTTTATTGAAACATCAACAGTAGCTTCAACATGTCTCAATCTGTGGACAGTTATACTTTTATTTTTGCTTTTTTACCTGTCATGCACTTTGTACACAATTTATCTTATAAAACTAAGCTGTATTTATTAAAAACTATATAAATAATTTTAAATAATGTTTTGCCTCACAGGCCAGAATTCGACGACTGAGTTTACAGCAGTGCCGTCAGATTCTGGAGATTTGTCTTGCCTGGGACCCCAGTCAGATGTTTGATATCATGCATCTCACAGCTTCAGATGCTCCTCCAGCTGGCCCTTCTCTCTCTGGTCAGCCTAGTTGGTGTGTCTGCGCTAACTGCAGAGAGATGTCATCTGACTTAGAACGCAAGTGTTGTGGGCAACAACAGCAGCAGCACTGCATCTCCAGACTCCCCCCTATGGAGGCCTATATTTTACAAGAGGGGGTACTGCGCTTAGCCAGACGTATCTGGACTGATATCCGAGCTGTTCCTGATGCTGTGGAGAGCAATAGGCAGTTCCGTTATGCTGCTTACCGTCAATTTGTTGTGTGGCAATATGGGGCACTGGGACAGGGGCACAGGGTGGTCATTCCCAGCTGCTGCGTGTGGACAATACATGATCGTTTCCCTGACCCCAATGGACAGCATCAGGGTTATGTTCCACAAAGATAATGTAGATGGTGTGTTCAAAAAAACTAAATAATTTGTAACAATACGTAATGTAGACACTTATTTGTATTTATATTTGTACAAATTCTCTTTATTTTTTTTGACCAAGCGCTCTTCGCAAACAAATTTGTTACTTCTTCTGTGGTACTTGTAATATGTTCTAATAAAGACATATTTTGTTATCTTGACAATTCAATGAAAAAATTTCTGTACATGCACAACAATGAAAAATACAATATAACAATGATTACAGTTAGTAACAGTACTACAATACCAAACTTCAAAAAAAACTTTTTAGAAAACAGAATTAGATGCACCATTTTTCCGTTTGTGTATCTAGCAAAACTTGTGTGGAATAATGTTTCTTGCATGTCAGGGTTTCCACGATGACAGTCTGCTTGGCTCCATTGATGTTTTTATGGAGACAAGTACCTTGTCCGACGTGAGCGTACAGGCCGACACAGGCCACATGAAGGGTCACACGTAGGGGCTGCAGAGGACGGGCCGGCCGCGGTCGGAGTAACGTTACCATACAAGCAGCATTAGGACTCACACTAGATGACGCACGTCGTGTTCAAGATCTGCAATCTACACGAATTGCAGATGAGCAGGTAACTACATAACATTGTTTATGAAGACTTTATTGAAACATCAACAGTAACTTCAACATGTCTCAATCTGTGGACAGTTAAACTTTTATTTTTGCTTTTTTACCTGTCATGCACTTTGTACACAATTTCTCTTATAAAACTAAGCTGTATTTATTAAAAACTATATAAATAATTTTAAATAATGTTTTGCCTCACAGGCCAGAATTCGACGACTGAGTTTACAGCAGTGCCGTCAGATTCTGGAGATTTGTCTTGCCTGGGACCCCAGTCAGATGTTTGACATCATGCATCTCACAGCTTCAGATGCTCCTCCAGCTGGCCCTTCTCTCTCTGGTCAGCCTAGTTGGTGTGTCTGCGCTAACTGCAGAGAGATGCCATCTGACTTAGAACGCAAGTGTTGTGGGCAACAACAGCAGCAGCACTGCATCTCCAGACTCCCCCATATGGGGGCCTATATTTTACAAGAGGGGGTACTGCGCTTAGCCAGACGTATCTGGACTGATATCCAAGCTGTTCCTGATGCTGTGGAGGCTGGGGAGAGCAATAGGCAGTTCCGTTATGCTGCTTACCGTCAATTTGTTGTGTGGCAATATGGGGCACTGGGACAGGGGCACAGGGTGGTCATTCCCAGCTGCTGCGTGTGGACAATACGTGATCGTTTCCCTGACCCCCATGGACAGTATCAGGGTTGTGTTCCACAAAGATAATGTAGATGGTGTGTTCAAAAAAACTAAATAATTTGTAACAATACGTAATGTAGACACTTGATAGAAATATTTGTACAAATTCTCTTTATTTATTTTTTACCAAGTGCTCTTCGCAAACAAATTTGTTACTTGTTCTGTGGTACTTGTAATTTTTTCTAATAAAGACATATTTTGTTATCTTGACAATTCGACAAAAATTTCTGTACATGCACAACAATGAAAAATACAATATAACAATGATGATCCAAACAAACATATTACATTTACATATACCCAGTACATTATAAACAGCAAAATATATGTATATGCTCACTTTCTACAAACCAGAGGTTATCAAATTTGGTCCTTTGGAGCCACTGTCCTACTTTTTTTTCACATTGCAATCAAACACACAAGAATAAGGTAATCATAGTTTTATGGTGTAAAAAAAAATATATAGTCATGTAAGTTGGATCCAACTTTGAGTCTAACACTGCAGACATGTTGATCTTGAAGGCTAGCATCCCTGATGTAAAGTAACAAATACAGTGTTGGATGACTGCTCAAGTTGTGCATGTGTTCTGACGTGTGTTGCCAGGGCTGTCTACAACTGGTTTTAAAGGGACTGTCCTGCAGAAAGAAATATTCACAATTACATATCAGTTAATACATACACATAAAAAATCCTGACTAGTTGCAGCAAAGAAGGTGACAGCATATCACCACTGGCTGAGTAGTTGTAAAACATTTCAATATTACAATAATAATTGAATCCTTCATGTCATGGGCCAGAACAAAAACTAAATCAACTAACCTGTCCCTCTGCTGAGTTGTGTCTGCAACAACTCCTGGGTGCTTGGTACATGGCCACCAGACAGAATACCAAGTAGACGTGGATCACCTGGCCTCAGGGATCTTCTCAATGGCATTTTCTCAGTTCTGGATAACTTCTTCATCAGGATAGCACTCTGCAGGTCTGCTATGTAACTGTAGTCCTTCTCTACTTTAAGTGCGTCTAACCTCCACCTTCGGGATTTTTTGTTGTAAATCTTTCTATATCTGCAAAAACAAGTCAGAAGTAATTTGACATGGAATGTCTACCTGTTAATCAGCAGTTGAAAGATAATGCATTGCACTGAAACAATTCGTTATACAACATACTGAATTGAGCCATCAGCTCTTCTCTTGGCTGGTCTCTGAATGTGGTGGTTATAGTCCAAGCCTGCAAGCATAGTGCGAGCTGAGTATACAGGAGGTGAGAAACAGAAGCGCTTGCTAGCATACAACAATAATTAGGTAAAAGCATGACATGTCTTACCTATATATTCTAAGGGGAAAAAAGCGTCAGCACTACCGACTGACAATGTATCACAAAAGATTTATCAGTGATAACACTTCCAATTATTTTCTAGTATTACTCTCTTATGTGTGAAAGTGTTTGTGTGTGTGTGTGTGTGTGTGTGTATGTGTGTTTGTGTGTGTCTCCAACTAACCCAATACTACAATTGGTCCTTTTGACTGTAACTGGTGGATGATTTCAGCTCTCTTTGAAAGCCAGAAATCTTTGATGGAGTATACACATTAGGTGTCCTGTATCTTGAAGAAAGAAGTCCTTTCTGCCATGCCCATTCTCATGAACTTGAAGAGAAGTGCTATTTTGGCATAGTTGTTGCCTGACAGTAGTATGTTGGTGGCCAACATGAAGTCCCCAATTAGCATGCCATGAGTGAAAGTTGGCTGTGAAGACCATTTCCAAACAGTATGGTCTGAAGAACATATCTGAAGTAAACAAAAGATTAGAAAAACAGGGTCAACAGTACATTACATAACATATATGACAAACTCTCTACAATCCCTACAAGACATGTAACAAATGTTTTTGAATAATATATACTTACCCATTCAATAATAGCAGCTGTGCCCCTGGATGTCACACTAATTTCAGAAGGTTGACAAGCCCCACACTGTAACTTGGTGTTAATATCGTGAGCATTACACTTTGTGACTGGTAAAACAAGGTAATTGGCCAACTGCTTCAGACAATCATGGTACACTATGGATGCTGAATGGCCAGTTGCATCCTCCACAACCTGGACCTTAAGAGAGTCTTTGGTTGGAGGCATCTCAGTGCTCGATGGATTGTGGGAATGTAAGACATCGTGCACCATGTCCTCCATGCTGATTGCTGGAATATCTTCTAAGTTAACGGCCGTCTTTGAAGCACCCCTTGACCATTAATAATTAGAGGTGTTATGTAAAAAATACAGAATTAGCAGTACCTTTATGTCTACCAACCATTTAGTCTTTAAACTTACCAAACACAGATACGTGGACTGTAGTCATCATCACTGTCATCAGAGTCTGAGTCTACTTCTTTGGTGTCATATTCTTCTAAAGATGACACCGACTCGGTCTCAAAATCCGGACGCCATGTTTCATCTTCCCAGTCAATACTATTTAATACAGAATAAATACAAACTAAATGTAAAACCACCACTCAGACAATATATGTGTTCATACATGATAATTATCGTCAGTTAGGTCAGTACAGCCACTTACGTAGTATTCTGAATGTCATTGAACTCATCCGCAACATCTTTTTCAAGGTCATATTCACTACACGGAGTGAAAAGAAATACGGTTTGAAAAATTACACATAAAATAATCATTTTAATAATAATAATAATTAATAATTCAATTACAACCTTAGATCCCCACTGACAGATGAAATAACCTCTGATCGATGTATACTACTCTACATTTGAAGTGGATGAAAACCTTTATTCAAAGTTGACGTAAAACCAAAGTGTTCTTATCTTAGGCCAATTTATATTAACTTTTTTGATCCGCTTCAAATCTTGACTACTGTATGTGCATAGTTTTCTTTGTAATTTTGGCATAGGTCGATCATGCAAATTTGATAACAGTATAAAGCTAGGATGTGTTTGGTACACCCAGTAAAAAAATGCTAATTAAATTATTGTCTTGCTCATTTGGTAAGTACGAAAACATTAAAAGACTTTCTGTCAGGATGGGTCCCAAACAATATAACTATTTATACACTGCGCTTGGCACGTGCATTGCTTACAATTGGTAAACACAATTCCGTACCTTTTTGCTATATCTTGACTGCCGGCCTCTTCAGAGTCAGTGCTTTCCAACTGCTGAACTCCAGCTATATTGAAATCAGCCTCACTGTTAGAACAAGACATATATATGAATATATTCAAGCACCTCACATCTCAGATTTGTGAAAGTGAACATGTACAGTAATAAGTTTGTAAACTGAGTCATCAGGCACAGAAAACATAAAAGAAAAATAATGGGCTTGTTCTGCCTTTTGCTGAACACAAATGGATATGTTGGACTTTTCAAAGCGACGTTGAGGGTATTTCCATTTAAGTGTGAAACATGACGTTTTACTCACAGTTGGTAGGAAGTCTCAGAAGCAAGTGTTGACACATCTGGTGGTGGCTTCACGTGTCCATGCACCAGCGGTGTTGATGTTGTAGTTTTCTCGTAACTTTGTAAACATAAGCATAGTTACCCGATTACATGATGCTGCTGTAGTTGAGCTAAGTCGTCAAGGTACATAAACTAAGCTATGCGTTATATCAAAACACACCCAAATCGAATCACACCATATACCTAACTTACCTGTCCAAAAGAAATACTGCAACCATGGCGTCATCATTCAGACCCTTTGACTCCCGTAGTTGTCTCCAGCGTGGAAAAACAACACCGATATTAACTCGGGTTTTTGCTCTGTTTTCATCCAGCCTTTTTTTCGCTGTAGCCTTTTCAAAGACTGTTTTTCTTTTGGTGGATACCTGTACAAGGGCACTTGTACTCGGTTGTTGTGAAGGAAGGTCCGTTTTTTTATGTTTGTCTGTCATTCTCGCTCTAACAGCATAGCGTACATGAATGCGCTGATGACGTATTCTTTCTGCGCAAACAGGGTGCGCAGAAGTATGCAAATACATGTTGACAGGCAGGTAGGAAAGCTGATTAAAACGATCGGACCGAGCGTTTTGATTGGACAAACATTTCTTGGTCCTATGCCTTCCACAGAATATATAAATATATATAAATACACTTAGACCACTTAACTTAACGACTGCTATCGGGATGTGAAGAGACTTTCAACCAGCATAAGAAAAAATGTTTATGGAGACAATCACCTATTGCACCTTTAAGGGCGAGCAGACAGCGGCATTCAGCTCAAGAGCGTAGCCGAGCCCAGGACTCTGATAGTGGGTGACTACATTATCAGAAAGATCAGTAGCAGAAATACAACAATATGCTGCTTTCATCAAGCAACCGTCTCTGATGTGAACAAGGAACTCCGGAACATTCTGATGAAGCACAAGACTGCAAATTGAATCATCATCCATGTGGGGAAGAATGATATTCGGAAAGAGCAGTCAGAACTCCTTAAGAAGGATTTCAGTGAACTATTTGAAACACTTCGAAGACTCAAAGTTCAGTCGTTCATCAGTGGACCACTCCCAGCAAGGGGAACTAAGATGCTTTCACGGTAGCTTGGGCTGAACACATGGCTACAAAGATCCTGCAATATAAAAGGAGTGAACTTCATCAACAACTTTCAACAACAATCTTTTCTGGGGCCATAGACAACTGTTTAAACCGGATTGCCTCCACCCAAACAAACTTGGTGCAAGAGTGCTTAAGGACAATATCTACTTCTCCCTCCGTCATCCTTCAGCAGAGTGTGCCAATCCACTCAGCCTGAATAGCACACACACACCTGGTCCGAGTCGTCATGTGGTTGACACATCCCACAAGGACACTGATAATGCCACGCAGCCACAACAAGCACTACTCATGGCAAACATCCTGGCTGAGCCCTGCCCACAGAGCTCATCACAGACAGACTGTGACGTATCAGAACAGCTCCAAGACTCAGTACCCAAGGACGACTTTCTGAAAAACAGCCAGGGAAGCCAGGACAACATATTTCAGCCACCAGAAACACCAGAGCCACAGCCCATCTCACCAGACACATTATCCCTCTCTTCAGCATCTCCACTTTTAAGCTTCTCACAGAAAATGGAGGAACTGGTTTATGCTGGGACCAAACTCTCCCACTCTTT